TAAGCCAGCTGTCTTCTAGAAGTTTATTTCATCACTTAGCAGCCATCTTGGTAACACCTTTGGGCAGCTAGTTTAAAGCACAGAGTGTCAAACTCAATTTGATTCAGTGAAGAAATGAACAGATTAATTTAAAAAGCAGTTGTGAGCTCAGGACAGCTGCAGGTACAGAAAGATTGTTGTGGTCAGATGATGCCGATCAGACGTTCTTTCACTGATCTGGAGCTGAACTTAAGTGTTAGACGAGACTTTGGGAGTCACATGAGGGAGCAGCTGAAGGCTCATCCCGTTCCTCCTCACACAAAGGAGCACATACCATCCTCCATCAGCATGATCCTGCTGATGGAGGAGGTCCTTTCCAGGTCCCCCCCGTATGATGAGCTGTCTCCTGGCATCTCCTCCTCACTCTGTGCTCAGAGACACAGCAAACCTCATGATGACACCCATGGATGTCCTCGCCTGTTCCACCTGAGAGGCTGCAGGTAGCGACTCATGCTGTCAACAGCAAAAAGCAAAGCTAGAGAAAACTCAGCAAGGATAAAGAGAGCGCACACAATGGTTTCTGCCTCACGGTCCAGTTAGGAACAGTTTAACTGACTTTGTGTTGCACTCTGATGATGGAGTCAAACTCTAAATGAAGACAAGCATAACACATGGAGGTCTGCTGACGTCCTGCACGACTGCAGTCTGTAAACGCTGCATGAAACTGCTCCTCCTTGAAGTACTTACATCTCCTCATGCCTCACACGTGCTCTACAATCCTCTGCGGCGCTCTAATTGCTCGGTCTGAGCGGCGTGCATGCAGGGAGCGAGCGTTCCTCGTCAGGTGTCATTTTTCTGGCTCGCCTGTTCGTTTGTTTAACCTCTAAAACAATCAGAGGTGTGAGAAGAAAACCAACACAGCAGCTTTGACGTGAAGCAGCACGTGTGTTTGCATGTGTGTGCGCGCGCGTGCATGGGTGTGTGTTTGCACTTGAGGACATTAAATAACATGCTGGTCTGGTATGGTGCTTTATCTGTAGTGTGTTAGCAGGAGAGCTGTCATTATAATGACAGATGTAGTCACCGTGAGGTTTTAAGCAGAACTTTGACTTTTAGACGGGAAATTAATTTTAATCCTTCATGTTTTTAAAGTCCATCATTTTTCAGAGTAATTGGAAATCTTACCAGTGATAATGGGAAAGAGAGAAAGTGCAGCTGCTGTGCACAGCTGTTCATGTTTCTGTGGTGTTGTGTGTTTCAGGTGGAGGACAGCAGGACGTGATGGTGTTTCTATCACTGCTGCATGTTTGTGTTTACTTCAGCAAACTGCTGAATTTGGGGTTCAGATTGGAGGATTTGAGGATGTGCTTTGCTTAGTGGTTCATCTCCTGGGATGTTGTTGTGCTTTTCTGTTGTGAAGTGTGTGTTTTAATGAACACAGACACACGCACAAGCACAATGAGAGCAGAAACAAAGGTCGGTGACATAACATCCTCTCCCCTCTGTTTCCTGCCTCTGTGCACCAGGAGCCTCGACCCCGACCAGATGAGCGTTTCCACAGAGTTCAGCTACCAGACCGAGTCTGACTGGACGTCCGTGATCAGCCTCGACATGAACGCGGCGCCGGGAAGCCCGATGTCATCCTCCAAACACTCCAAGGTGGGTCTGAGTTAATCATCAGAGATTACAGATGCATACCTACGTGTGCATAACGTCAGAGCAGCTTATATTCCACCCTGAGAGGAGAAGCAGATCAATATTAAACAAATATACAAAATGAATTTATCTTCACGTCTTTATTGAACTCTGAGTGCAGAAACTCCTAGCTGCTGACGATCACTCGGATTCTGGGTGATATTGATCGATCAGCTGTCGGCTCATAGGTCAGGGGTTTGTTCTTGTTGCTTCCTTTGGATCATCAGTTATTCCTCTCTGTGTAGTTTGAGCTCAGAGATGCTTCAGAGCTGGAATGAAGGTTTTAGTGTTTTGTTTTTTTGTCTCATCAGTTAGAACATGTGGAACATCCTGGTGATCGATGGAAAATCTGGGAGTCAGATCATTAGGACCTCTGCCGTCTCTCACAGGAGAGTGATCTTCTACACTTTCACTCCAGATGTTGTCGAATCTGCTTTTTTTTTTTTCAGATTTTTATTTTTAGCCGTTTTGAGATTTTCTGGTTTGTTTCTCGGGCGCCTCGTCCATGAGGTCCAGATGAAAGCAGAGAAGAGATTATGTGTCGTGGTTTCAGCTTCAGCTCTGTTTGCATTACTTTACTGGTCCAGTTATTTAGTTTTTGATTTCTTGAGGCCTGGTTCTTAGTTTTTATTGTTTGTCCATAACTGTGATTTAGATGAAAATTAGTGGCTAAATCTGACATATTTACACACTGAATTTAAGTCTATTCATAGTCCTTTTTAAATAAACAGAAACATGAAGATGGTTCAGAGTTTATGTGACTCGATCAGCTGATTGATCACATTGTTTCATGAGCCATCATGTTTGCTGCCAGCTGACCGTGTCATCGTATTCAAACATGAGCAGATGTCTTTATAAATCGTCACTGTTGGTTTAATAAACGGCAGCACTGACGGCTCTGCGAGGGCATTTCCTCCAAATCTACCTGTGCAGCACTTCTTTGTTAGACACTGTTTTATTTAAAAATCTGCAAGACGTCAGAAAGTTTGAGACTTTGGAAACATAAAAACGGCAAGTTCAGACGCGCGAAGTGGAAAAAATGGATCAGAAGTGCATCCGGAGCAGATTAGCTGCATTAGCCGTGTTAGGCGGTCAGATTTCCTATGATTTTATCTTCATTGAAGCAGCAAACGGCGCTCGGCTGGATTTGACTGACTAACGAGTTCAACCTGCTGACATTGTTCACTTGGTAAAAACACGGCTCCAGTTTCCTGCAGAACATTTGCTGAGTCAGCAGCTGTGATAGTGGG